TTTGAGAAGGCAGTCAAAGATTCTGGTCTGCAAACTAATGGGACGATTTACAACCAAATGGTTCAGCTATTAGCCTATGCGGATGATGTGGACATCATGGGGCGGTCGTTGCAATCTGTCAGAGAGGGATTTTTAGCTTTGTTGAAGGCCGCCAGAACACTTGGGTTAGAAGTGAATGAAGGCAAAACTAAATATATGGCCACAGGAGAAGTCCCTCGACCAGGCGAGACCATAAATAATGGCCCCTTTAACGTTGAGAAAGTAGTGCAGTTTAATTATTTGGGGTCACTGGTAACACAAGACAATGCACCCGAGGTCGAGGTCAAGAAAAGAATATTTATGGCTAACAATTGTTACTTTACCCTTTGCAAGGAATTCACCTCTTGCCTTTTATCCCGGCATAACAAGCTATATCTTTATAAAACACTAATCCGTCCAGTCCTGCTCTATGCTTCAGAAACATAGACAACGACTAAAAAAATTGAGCAAGACTTCCTAATCTTTGAGAGAAAAATTCTTCGAAGAATATTTGGAGGAGTACAGGCTGATGAAAATTGGAGAAGACGGACAAATGCTGAGATTTGCTCAACTTTTAATGATCAAAATGTCGTTCTGAGGATGAAGCTTGGAAGATTGAGATGGGCTGGTCATGTGGCAAGGATGGAGAATGAAGGAATCCCTAGGATGATCTTGACAGAACCTCTCTACGGCATAAGAAGAAGAGGGAGACCAAAACTAAGATGGTCAGACGGTCTGGCAAGAGATTCAAGGGATGTCCTGGGAGTCAGGAGCTGGATGATGGCCGCACAGAACAGAGATGACTGGAGGAAGCTGGTGGAGGAGGCCAAGACTCGTCACCGAGTTGTAGTGCCGTGATAATGATAATAATAATAATAAAATATTTGAAATAGAGTATTAAAATATTCATATCGATATTTGATTACCAGATTAAATCTGATGCTTTCTGTTAATCAGAATAGTGATGTCATCTTCATATCCTTGAGCGTAGAACTCTATGGCATTGAGGATTGATAATCAAAAGTCAGCCACTAAACTGTACAATTCTGTGTTTCCCAGTTCTGATTTTTTAATCTATTCCTTCAAATTCTTGTTATCAATATGGAATATATGAGTTCTACTTTCCTTTTCCTTAGGGTGTCAGTAATAATACTATGAGTTTATTCAAGTGTACCTTTTATGTTTAAGAATTTAGTTTCACCATAGGTTCTTCAACTGTGTTCTGTGAACGTAACTATTACCAATAATTTTGACATTAACTATACATTTCCCTTTTTTTTTCGATGTCTCAGTTAATAAAAATCCTACATTGTGAAGACTTCTGTATTTGTTGTTACTTAACTAGTGGTTAACATAACAGTGTAAAATGCATAGGGCCCGGATCGGGTCAAGGTACAACATAAATTGAGGACCCCTGATTTACATTTATTTGGTTACTTTGATGTTAAGTTCCATCGGTATGTGAGCAGACAATATAAAATTTAAGGCATTTTCATAAAAAGCACTTTCAGTTACTCAATAATAGACATATCTATGATGTCCAAAAAGTTTAAATAAATTGATTCATAAGAGTACAATCTTAAAAAGGATAGTATTTTTACTTTATAAAAGGAAGTCTGATTGCCAAAGTTAATTAAATGGATATGTAAAATAATTGTCCAGAAAATAAAAATAATAAAAATAGTATTTTCATAAAAAGCTTATACATTAACAAACTAAAAGACAAAAGACATCAATATCAAACATTTGTGAACTATTACTGTAGATCCTAACCTGAGCGCGTTCAACCTTCAAATATATTTATTATTTATTTGATAACATAATACTGGAGCTCAATATTGAAAATATTTGATAAGTTATAGTAAATCTATGTCATTGCAAGTTCTTAAAATTTATAGTAATGGGTTATATATATATGTTTTTATTTTTTCTGTTACTATTATTCAGCATCTATTACAAAACATTTAGTTAAAAAATGTTTTCTGTAATAATTGGATATGGGTGTAAAATAAATAAATTAAATGGATTACTAAAAATCTATTAAAGTATTAACATTTATTATTAAAAATACTTATTATAAAGAAAAATTATTCCCCGTAAAAATGAAGAAAATCAAAATTGAACTATTGTTAATTGAAAGTTATTAAAAGATTATATTAATGAAAATAAAACATTAATTGTAAGATGTTAACAAAAAAAATTATTAAATCAATATTTCTCAGGAATTGTGTTTTAAAATAGTCTCATTCTTATTAGGGTGATCAATGTAATCATAATTTCACTTTTATGCTGTAATTGATTTTCTATTTGAACATTTTTATTAATTTTTTTTTGTTTATATTTTTTTATTTTGGTCAACGGTACTTACCTAAGTAAGTAACTTAGTCTTTGAACAATCCTGTTGAATTGAAATTTTATGACTAACCCAATTTCTTGGGTGAATATTATATTGCTGAGGAGGACGAAGTTTTCCTCGAAACGTTCAAATAAATTTACAATCAAATACTAATTTATTTCTGACTAATAGGCAAATGAACCACTATAATCTTGTAATTAGTATTCAACTTAATGTATACTATACAATAATATATTTTTATTAGTTAAAATTTTTTTTTAATTTAAAAAATGAGGAAGAACTATAATAATAATAACCTAATGAACAAAGTTCCATCACACTTTGGAAATCATAGTTTTAAAAGCAAATATATCATCCAAAAATTGTTTCACTAAAATTGGTGACATATGCATATACCCTATTTAAAAAAAAGTGCCTCTGATAACCCAATACAGAGCTCAAAAGTTGGATTAGTATCTACATGAACCCCAAGCCATTCCCAGACCACAGTCTAAGAACCTATGGTTTATGTGATCCAAATGTCTGTAAGATTTTTTTCATTCGGAAATAGGAGTGATGAAACCAAAATAATATTTTTCTACAATTTTTTCTTAGACCTGTCAAACAGATTCTATCGTTATATATATAACTGCTCAAAAATGAATATAGATATTTCTATTTGATGATTCGTTTTAATTAAAATATCTTATTTTCTTTGTTTATTAGGAATTCTCTTCTTTGTTGGTAAACACAAAGTATTCTATATTTATTTATTTTTTTTAGTAGTAGTTTCCACTAATAGTGTGTTTCTTTAACTCAAACCTTTTATGGCTTCTTTCCATAATATCCTATTTAGGGTCCATTCTTCCCATAGACCATGATCCATCATGGATTCCTCCACTTTGTTATCCCAGGTCTTCCTCGTCTTCTTCTTTCCTTAGTTTTCCATAAGTTTTGCATAGTCTTCCTTTTGGCATTCTTTTCAAATGGCGTTCAGGCGTTTTATCTCAATCTCTTCCAGAATGGTTCTGTTAGCCTCCATCTTTTCTCTGATGATCATATTTCTGACTTTATCCATTCTGGATATTCCCGCTGCTCGTCTCCATGTATTATTATTTATTTATAATAAATTATTACTTAAAGGATATTCAAAATGACGAATACTCATTGTGGAAACCAACAGCTGTTTTAGACTTTCCTCAATTTTAATCCTGTAATATTCTATTTAATGATGGAAAAACATCAAATTGAACCAGAAATTTGCAATATTATTGTGAGAAAGAATGGTCAATGGTGCCGGCAAGTGGATATCAGTATGTATATAAGTATATATACAGAGTGTCCCGTAAGTAGAGGGAAATATTTAAAAGGTTGGTAGTAGACTCAAGATCTACAAAAAAAAATTCATATAAACAATTGCCCAATTTCCAGCAGAAAAGTAGGAAATTTCAGATTCGTGTTTTTTTAAGCGAGTCACATTTTTGGTGAAAGGAAGCAATAACATAAAAAATATTTGATATAAGTAATTAAACATTGCTCTATAGTAAACTAGAAAAAATTTACTTTAAACGAAACTTGAGTTTGTCATTGTTAAAGCTATTTAAAGAAGACTGTTTTAGCGGACAAACACAGCTAAGTTCAATTTTAAAAAAAGCCATCCATTATTTGTGAATTTTTTTTATCACCCTTCAACTGTACTACATTTACCCAACTTTTAGAAAAACTTAATTAAGTTTGAGGTTTATTAGGACACATGTCCTAATTATGTTTATTACAACACATCCCATATCATGGAAAATCAAGAAATACAAGCTTTGCAACAGTTAATTGTAGTCATTTTTGCTGAAAACAGATACTTTTAGGTGACTGAATAGAAGTTGGGATTGACCTGGAAAGGTGCAATTGCTCACTTTTGTTGAGCCTGATTTTGAGCACCGAGACCTGGGACTTGAGAGTTCTGTTTTCCAGACCTAATCCGTCGATTTTGGAATTTTGAGCCTCCAGTAGTGACTCTATAGTATCCAATTTCATCGGGTTCTGGAAAGTGATAAAGGCTTGCTTTTCTAGAGATATTTTTAATTCTTTCACCTTGTTAGCATTGGCATCTATAATTCAACAGATATTTAACTTGATTAAAAACTATACTTACTGAAATCAGTTTGAATTCAACATCTAAAACTTCAAAAGTATCAGGCTAGACTGTAATATAAAAACAAAACTATTGGTATTTTTTATATATCAATCACAGTAACTAATATGATAAAATGGGGAAATCCTTAAAAAGGGAGTACTGTTCCTGGAGTCCTGGAGGGTTCCTTACAAAGTACTGAACTCTCCATGAGTTGTAGTGGTAAAGCTGTTTAATTATTGAAACATTAAAATATTTTACTTAAGAATTTATACCACATCTGTTTATTATTTGAATTTATTTATTTTTTATTTATATGCCTTGTATTCTACTTGGTTATTTCAAAGATGTAATCAAATGCTATTATAAAATATAGTCATGGACATAGTAACATGAACTAATAGATAGTTCATAATTAAATCAATTACCAAATAACTTTGTTAACTTAGAACATCTATTAATCATCTTACCGAATAATTTCGAACTAATTTATTTTAAATTAATAAGTTATTTCTTTAGACTGAAGAACCTGAATTGGCTGCAATAGCAGATAGTGTTGATGTAAGATTTTCCACTGGTGTAGCTTCTGATTCATCAAGTTCATGTAGCAGTTCATCTTCTTCATCTAGCTGTGGCACAGATGATTCTGATAGTGGTCAGGAATCTTTGACTCCTCACAAAAAAAGGTAATTAAATACTTGTTTTATTTTTTAATCATGTATTTGTTCTCCTTTTTAATTTTTTTAAAAGTTTTATTTTCTCATCACACATTCTTGGCACACAATTTTTGTCCAGATCGTTTGTATGCAGGGTGTCCCATAAGTAAAAGGAAATATATAAAGCAATGGTGGCAGACCTCTAGAGCTGTAAAAAAGTTTACATAAACTACGGTCTGTTTTTTTGCATAAAAACAAGAAATTTAAGTTTTGTGTTTTTAAAGTGTCATGTTTTCTCTTGATTAAAAAGTGGCAACTAAAAAAATATTTAATTTAGGTTATTAAAAATTGCTTATTTGTAAACTAGACAAAATTGCCTTTAAAGACAATTAAAGTTTTCTATTTTAAAACCATTTAAACGAGACTTTTAAGCAGCTAAACTACACTAAGTTCTATTTTTCATAAAACCGTGAAATATATTTGATTGTTTTTTTATCATCCTACAACTGGATTACAGATACCTCACTTCTTTTAAAACTTTGTTTACTAAGCTTTAAGTGCATATTAATTGAGTTGAGATTTGTTACAGAATAAGTTAAGTTTCACCACTAGTTGTGAAAAAAAAAAATTGATTTGATATATTGTCACCCCAGAGTAGCTGTGTTTTCAGCAAAAATAACGACAAATTGTTACACAGTTTTAATATCTTATTTTCCTGTAACTTGGAATGTTTTTTTTAATAAATTGATTATAAAAATAACCTTTTTAATCATAAAAAAAAAGTATGGAGGTATTTTACTATAATTCTAATTTAAGAAGAAGTTGGTCGACTTTATCAAAAAACCTACCGGATCATTTTTATGGTAATTGTAAAGCACTTTAATATTGCAATAATAATATGCTTTATTTAGTCTGGGACAAGCCTCTTTAGAGTAAAACAATTGTAGACTTCAGAGTTTTATAAAACGAACAATAAAATAAACAAATAGAAATATTAAGTTAACTTCTAAAATTAATGAATTAAAAAAAATAGATATTTAAAAACAAACTAATAATTTATATACATATTTACAGAAAAAGCTATTTAAAATTGTTTGGGAACTGGATGGATAGTTTAGCGGCAGTGGGCATTCAAGAAATAAACAACCAAATTCACCTTTAGGCCATTGTAGTCTGTGGGCCAGACCCCCCTATCGTGCACCCTCCCCCCCCCCCACATCTCTATGAATAGCATATTGTTGTGCTCTTGTGACTATTTATTTAAAAAAAAGCCAATGTTTACAAAAAAAAATAGTGAACGAGCTTCTCCAAAATGGCGTCCAAATATGGCGGATTGACGACTTTGACTTTAGTTAGTTTTTTGGTTACTGAGAATCAGCATTTGGCTTAATTTCGTCATAGTTAGTGTTTTATTAAAGCTGGATAGTCAGAAAATAATAAAACATGAAAAAATATTAAAAACTAATTGGCTTAGGCAATAAAAACACCAGTAAAGTCAATTTTTTAACAAAAATTTTTCAAGTTGAAAATCAAGTGTCATTTGTAATTAAACGGCCAACAATAACGCAAAAGGTGCTGATATAAAACATATGGAGAATATATTATTCTTTCTAAAACACTGATTACTGTTTAAAATATTTGAAACAGTTCCGTATAAACGCACATAAGCAGCAGAAAAGCGGTACTGGCGTAGGTGCCTTCAGGCCTCTACCACACCATTCAGTACTCATAAATGGCTTAGTTATAGTGCTATAATAACGTTTTTGGTACATTACATTGATTGTATTAACGAACAAATATTAATACAATAATTTAATTGTCAAAAAAAATTTAATTATTTTTTTTAAATTTATTGTAATTTTTTTAAATTAAACTTCCTTTATTCTATACAGAGGTCATTTAAGAAGGCCTCTATTGTAAAAATTATACAATTATAATAATAAAATTCAAAAATACTTTGCTGAATATCTTGAATTTTTTATTTAACGTTTGCAATTTAACACTTTGTTTTCTATATTTACTGATTCTTAGAGGTAATTTAAATTTTATATACTTTCCCAGAAATGAGTCATATCAATACCTGTTTTATAAACTAAAATGATATATACTACATATAATCTGAACTACATATAATGAATAGTTGAAGGGTTGTTTAGTAAAATTTGTATATCACTATTGAAAAAATCATTTTTATTTCCTTTATTTTGTTCGGAAGTTGGACCATATCATAAAAAAATATGAAATTTTAATATTGAATGCATTATTCTCTCTGCACAAAGAAAGATGGAAAGGGCGAAGCTATAAGTTCTTCAAGGTAACTGGAACTGATTGTTAGTATTTGGTCTCAAAATGAGGGAAAACGCGAAATTGAACCCAAACATTGGAAAAATATATTAAGCAAACGACAAAGGAAGTGCCAAAATCTCGGAAAAGAAAACAAGGGTCAGTATCCATTATATGGTTAAACGAATATATAGTAGACAGATGAACACAATATTTCAAGATGATGCTAAAAGGGAGTCAAATGCTGGGGCAGTTTGGATGATACTGAGGGGACGATGCAGATGTATTATGGTGAAGACTATTTTATCAACAAGAAAGATTTGTTCGAAACAATTGGCAAGTCAGCAGGACTAGAGTAAGTAACCCGAAATGCTGAGCTTACAAAGGCTACAAATGTATTAGAAAATGATATGAAAGGACTGTAGTTTTGTCCTAGGAAAGGTAATACATAAATACCCATTGAGATTCATTCCTGTTTAGTTCACCAAAGAAACTCTACTCAAGAATTGAAGAAGCTAGAATAAGAAATATTGTCGATTACCAGAGTGATATGGATTGAGAAACTCAAGCTGCACATTGGGAAATAAGTTACACATGCGGACTGTCTTCACTTTAAGCCAGGTTATAGAGATCCATCGAGAAAGAAAAATAGCTCTCCATCTGCTTAGTGCCTCACACTTTGTATTGTGCTAATATCTGCTAGTCTTTCAGAAAAGCTCGTTTTACTAAGATTCCTTAAGAAAATCTTCGGCAATGCACTAAACAGAAGGACAGCTATTTCCCTTTCTCGATAGACCTCTCTATAACCTGCTTCAAAGTGAAGATAGTCCCAATGTGCAACTTCAGTAGTAATCGAAAATAAAATGGTTTTCACTATAATAAACCTCGTTTACTTACTCCAGACCTACTGACTTGCCACTTGTCCAAAGAAAAGATGACACTGAGGAACAAAGCCACACAGGTGTGAGGCAGTGGTGACTAGGTGAGGTGGGGAAAGTTGAGCGGAGCTGCCCCTTGTTAAGCCACTTAACTGTGCTCAGCTTAGCTTCCTTCTAGTGGCCGGCCTTTGATTAAAAACCTTTGGTTCGTTTTTGGAAGCTGACTCGCTGCACTTTCGGTGGCCAGTCAGCCTTATGGTCAACTATGTCAAATGCTTTGGAAAAATCTAGAAGGATGAAGATAGTAAGGTTTTGGTGTTCAATGGAGTTTTGGAGGTCATGGGTTATTTTGAGGAGTGCAGATTAAGTTGAGTAGCCAGGTCAAAAGCCAGATTGGAATGGGTTCTCTAGGAAGTAGGAAAGTTGATTTCAGACAAGGCATTCCTGTTGTTTTGAAAGGTTGGATGGAAAGCAGTAGAGAAATAGGATGGAAGTCGTGCAGTAAAGAAGGGTTAGAATAGATGTTTTATTCAATGATCGGACTAGGGCAGTTTTCCAGGAAGATGGGAATATGGAATTTTACAAGGAAAAGTTGTAAATATGCCGAAGTACCGGAATAAGGACAGGAAGGTTGGATTTTATTAGTTTTACTGGAATTTTGTTTGATTATTTTGGAATTACTTTACTGAATTTTGTTTCTGTAAATACTTATTAGGCTGTCCCCTGGTCTCACTTTATGTACTCCTCTCACTGAGGACAGCCATGTATCTCCAGCGATGGGATATCCATAGTACTATGTACTTGGATTAATCCCATTACACCTCCAGATGTACCATGGCCAACTGCCACTCATTATCTCATAGCTGTAGAATAAGGAGCTCTCTATTCCTGGAACTAGAACAAGCATATATTCTTCACTATTCTTCTGTCAGCATACCAGCTATAATAACGATGGAGGAGTAGCACTACTGAACTGGTGGAGAAACCAGTGAAGCTGGAGGACTATTTAAAGGATAAGCTCTGCCTTATTTCTCATTTTTATAGCATGTTACCAACCCTCCCCTCTTTTCATTTATTTTGTTCACTAAAATACTAACCACAAATTTAAGTTTAATTAAAAATACATATTGGTAAATGCCATTTTGTTTTTCTTTCTTCTTATTTGATCTTCTCTGAAATGGTGGATTAAAAGTAAGAACTATTTTTTCATGTTTTCCTTTCATTATTTTGCTCACAAACATTTTTTTTCTTTTTAATGAAATTTACAACTGTATTACATGAAAAATACAACAAGTAAATGTGACATTCACAAACATTTAAAATTATTTATTTTATCATTCAAGAAAATAGCTCCTGGTCAAAAAGAATGTACCAGGTCACCCAGTTTTATACTGCTGCATTAAAAAAGAAAAAAAAAATTGTCAAATCAATATACTGATGTGGGTTTTGTAATACAGTTGGCCTCTGACTTTCATGGAGTGCGGTTGTACTGTGGAGTTATTCGGACTGTTTTTATATTTCATTTATTCATTTTATTTCATGTATTTTGTCTTCTTTTTTTTTTTAAATGTAATTAATGAAACCCGGCGAAGAATTAAGTGATTCGCCCGGTGTTTCCCTCACTACTAAAACGAACGTAGACCAACATACGGACGAATCCTGTTCTAAGAAGAGAGTTCATGAAGCTATTGATTCACCTCAATTCCGATCACCAGTTAAAAAAATGGGCAAGTACTACCAGGAAATCGCTCCAATTAAAGTAAGCAATAGCTTTAATCATCTTTCTGAAATTGACCTTTCATCCGATAAGCACACTACAGCAAGTACTAGTTATAAAAATAACCCAAATGTTCAATCCAATGATATTAGAATACCACCGATATTTTTACACAATGCTAACAATTACAGACTTCTATTAAATGACCTAAATGCATTATGTATCGGACCATTTAATACGCAACTGGCCAGTAACAACATAAAAATAATGCTATCAACCATTGAAGACTACAGAACTATGACTAAATATTATGATGAAGAAAAAATTGAATATCACACATTTTTCTCAGATAAAAATAAATATTTAAACATTGTCATAAGGAAGGTCCCTTATAGCATAACCGAAGATGAATTAAAGGCCGAGTTAAATTCCAAACAGTTCGAAGTTGTTTACGTTTCCAGAATATTGAATAAAGATAAGAAACCTACTCCTCTCTGCTCAGTGTCTATTATAAACAATGAAAGGGCTAATGACATTTTCAATCTTAACAATTTATTTTCTGCTTTAATTACAGTCGAACCTAAACACAAGAAAAATGATATCCCCATGTGTACCAACTGTCAGAGGTACGGCCACACAAAAAATTATTGTCATTTAGAGCCCCGGTGCGTTAAATGCAAAGAAAAACACCACTTCTCTAAATGCCCGTTAAAATTCACAGATAAGCCATTTTGTGTAAACTGTAAATTGGCCCGTGCAGCTACCTACAAGGGTTGCGTCTATTATCAAAATATAAAAAAATAGAGTAAATTCACCTCTAGAGCCAACTAGTCAAACAACTGAGAATATTTCTTCTAGACCTGCCTCCAGAATTACTTCAAAACAGTCATTCGCAGACACCATTAGACCGATAACAAAACAATCGGAACGAAAACCTCAGCCCACAGTTAATCAAAACATTGAAATAAACGGCAATAATTTACTGTCAACAATAACTAAAATTATTATCGATGCTATCAAACCGTATTTACCACAAATTATGACACACCTATCTTCGCTCGTAGCTTCTTTATTTACTAATGTACCCTAAAGTAAACACTATCTTATCTGTTACTAACTCGTTCGAGACTAACTGCGCATTATTCCAGATCACGTATTATTTCATTTATTTCCAAATATTAATTTTTTATATATGACTGCAGAACTAAAAAAATTAAAAATTTTAAACTGGAATGCGCATGGCATATCATCTCAAAGAAATGAATTTAAAATTTTTCTTGAATCAAATTTCATCGACATAGCCTGCATAACCGAGACACATCTATCTCAAAACATCACATTTAGAATCCCAGGTTACAAAATCTTACGAAAGGATCGAGAATGTTCGACTGCTTCCGGCGGTGTATCCTTAATAATTAAGAATAATATTAGCTTCATTGAAAACATTATTGATAATATTTTAAATATCGAAGTCATATCAGTTCGTTTACATTCATTTCTCTCTACAGTCGTTACGGCAGTTTATAAACCTCCAAACAAAAAACTACTCCAAGATGAAATTTTAAAACTCTTGCCATCAGGAGACCATTCTTTAGTTCTAGGTGACATGAACAGTAAAAACATCTACTGGGGCTGTCGTAAATCAAATTCTAGCGGAAATATTTTGCTAGAAATTTGTTCTAGGCACAATATTCAAATCCATACGCCAAATGAACCTACTTTTTATAGACCAGGCTGTAAACCCGATATTTTGGATATTGCACTCACCAAAAATTGTAGGCTTCCTCTCTCATCTCACGTTATCACAGCCTTAAATTCGGACCACATCCCTGTATTAATTCATTTTTCAACTGAGCTAAATGTAGTGCCGAAGCGAAAATCACTCATTAATGGAACGATTGACTGGGAATTATACAAAATCTTAGTAGCTGAGAAAATAAATCTGACCTTTCCAGTTAGTGAGGAAAAATTTTTCAAGGAGTTGCCCAAAATCAATTCTGTTAAAAATTAAAGAAAAGAACCATGCAAGGAGACAGTGGATGCGCAACAGAGATCCTACTTACAAAAAGACATGGAACCACCTCAAACACGTAATTAAAAAAGAACTGGATGAATGGGTGTATTCTAAATACCAAAATTACGTAAAAGATTTAGACCGAATGGACCAATCTCTGTGGAAGGCTACTCGGCGTGTACTAAGCAAATTTGAGAAAATTCCTAGTCTGGAAGAGAATGGAGGATACATCATCAGTGACGCAGAAAAAGCTGAAGCATTTGCAGATTACTTTGAGAAAACGTTCTCAAACCCAGAATGCGAAAGAAGTCCGCATTCACCAAATGTTGATGTTGAAGATTATTTAAAATTGCCCCTAACAACTGTACAGCTTCCGATTAAATTCACAACCCCTAAAGAAATTCAAGAACTAATTAGGAGTCTCAAAGTAAAAAAAAGTCCAGGACATGACCTTATACCAGTTATTGCTTTAAAAAATTTTCCTAGAAAAGCTCTCGTTTACATTACGTCTATTTTTAATAGCTGTCTACGCACTGGATATTTTCCCGAAACGTGGAAGAAAGCTGAACTCGTAGTAATTCATAAGCATGGTAAAAACGCTAAACAAGTCAGTAGCTATAGACCGATAAGTTTATTACCCATAGTTGGAAAATTACTAGAGTCAGTCATAAAAAGACATCTTGCATCCTTTTTACAATGTAATAGCATTATTCCTGATTTTCAATTTGGTTTTCAGTATAGTCATTCCACTTCACACCAACTGGCAAGATTATCAGAATTCATAGTAAATGGATTTGAAATGAAAAAACATACTCTTGTCACGTTTTTAGACTTTCAACAAGCGTTTGATAAGGTTTGGCATTGTGGTCTATTGTACAAGCTAAAGAAAGTGGACACGCCCAAATATTTATATGACGTTCTGAGCTCATTCCTCAACGGCAGAACATTTACAGTTAGAATAAATAATATAAATTCAACCTTAAGACAAATCCATGCCGGCACCCCACAAGGTTCTGTTCTTTCTCCCATACTTTTTAACTTTTATGTTCACGACATTATCCAATCCACAAACACCTCCATAGCTATGTTTGCCGACGATACAGCTGTCTTTTCCCAACACAATGATATATTAATAGCCAGAAATACACTGCAGTCTTTCCTAGTAAATCTAGAACAATATTTAAAAAAATGGATGATTTGTCTCAACACCGAAAAATGTACAGCAAAAATTTTTACTCTTAGACGTCCCTCAGACCCACCTGAACTGATTCTCAAAAATAAAGAACTAAAATGGAACCCAGCTAGTGAAGCAGTAAAATACCTCGGAGTTTATCTGGACCGCCGCCTTACGTGGAATTACCATATAAATAATAAACTGACCCAAACATACGCAAGGTTAGCAATGTTATATCCCATAGTAAATAGAAAATCTAGTTTAAAACCAGAGACAACTGTTCTTATTCATAAAACCATACTAAGACCCTTGCTAATGTACGGATGTGAAGTCTGGGGAGCCGCTTCAGCTACGAAAAGAAAAAAACTACAATCCTTTCAAAACAAGGTATTAAGAATTGCAGTAGATGCCCCCTGGTTCATAAGAAACGCTCAACTACATCGAGAACTAAAATTGGAAACAATAGATGAATTCATCAAAAAACGATTTAAAAAATTCCATACGCAGCTACCAGCAGTTAAAGGTGCAGTGGCCTACAACTTAGGAAACCCAACCTCATCTCGAAGACTGAAGCCCAGACTGATCCAAGACATCATGTTATGAACAATTAATAATTTTCTCTTTATTAATTGTAATTATTCAATAATTATAATGTATAAATAGTTAGGGGTGTCTTTTGCAAAGACTATACCCCACCAGAACAAATTGTTAAAAATCATCAAATTGTTACAACAACCATGTAAGGCCCACCAGGCCGATCTGGTAATAAATAAATTAAAAAAAAAAAATTAAAAAAAGTTTTGTAATAAATCAGTGTTCAATTGGTACAGTTTTTTTCCTTCTTAAAAACTTAAAACTTTCAATTTTTATTGTGTTTCAGAAAAATTTGTAAGGAGACACCGTCTGCAACCCAAGATTGCTATATTTCTTCTTACACTTGAAATTATTCTTATTTATTTTTAATACAATTGAACTTTATTACAATGTGATTAGTTTTATTAAATAAAAATATTTTTTTCTGAAATACATCTTAAGCATAATGAATTTGTTGTTCTGGAATGTTCAATGTTCTATAGTATATTGATGTTCATGCTTTGTGTGATAAGAAGTTCAGTATTTGCTCATTATAAATTTAAAAATCAATTATCGAAATTGATTAATATAATAGTTTCAGTCAAAAATACTTGAAACTATTTTTAGAAGAATGCACTACCGACCAATCAATTTTATGATTTCTATTTTAATAGCACAATTTAGGCATAATCAGGATGCAGTTTTAATGTTGTTTTTTTTGTGACTTAGTAAACTGATTTTGGTATATATTTTGCCCAATTTAAGAGATCAAAATATAAATCAAACAATATTTGTATCTTATTCATTTTTATATTTCATAAAATTTATTCATTGGTAATTATAATTTCAATTAATACGAGATCATTAGACAAAATTTAAAGGTCTTGTATTAATGTTAATTAGTTAAGTGTATTGTTTTTAAATTATGATTAACATTTTAATTTATATACCGCTTTTCTTTAGAAAACAAAAAAAAAACTAATTTAAATGTCACTTATTGGAATTGTATGGTTATGAATTGTGTCTTCTGTCTTAATCAGAAATTCAAATATTAGTTTAGACCTAAGGCTTTGTAAATCCAGTGTGACTTACAGATCACATTGCAAAAAAAAGAACTTTTAAGTTATTAATCATAAATCATTTATTTAATTGAGATATAGAATTCCAAAACTAGCCAACTTTAATTTAAATTTTATTTAAGTAACAGTTTTGGTACCAAATTATCATAAAGTAAAAGAATTTATTTTAAAAAACAGTTAAATCACCAGTGATTAATGTTATAATTGTTACAAAGCTGACAATAAAAAGTAAATTAAATAAATTTTATGCAGTCCTGATTGGGCAGAATATTTATATAAGATTTTAAATTTTGTAGTAATAAAGCATATAAACGATTTGTTAATTTTTTTTTGCCTGGAAGGGGTTTTTCACAAATATATTTTGACCAAAAGTCTTTCGCATTACATTATATACATAACAACAAAAGTTAAAATAATTGCATTTATATATTTTTCTTTTGTAATTAAGCTGATTACAAAAATTTAGAATGGATAATTTTATAGTATTATCTCAATCTATTTCAAGATGGATACAGTACTTCCATTAAAATAAAACAGATGCTTCCCTAAGTATGTGTTTAGTGTTTAACAATTACCTATCGTGTGATTTATTCAAGTTTAAATAATTCATGGTATTTAGCTGCCAGTAGGTGTAAAAGAGATCTATAATAGCCGATGGTCGAGGATTTGAACCAACCAATTTAAATAAATCACCCTTTGATATAATTACTATTATTTTATAATTCTTTTAAAATAAATATGGTTTACTCATGAACCCTTAATTTCGTTGAGAAATATTAAAATACAGTTTTACATAATATCCAGTTTACTAAGTCCAAAGGAAGTATATAAAGTATTTAATGTTGATGTTATTGATAACAATACCATATTTTAAAATAGTGTTGAATAAAGTGGTATTTTAATACATCTTAAAAAGTGCATTAGATTTTTCATTATTTTTAGTTGCCAACAATGATGTTCATCTTATTAATATTTTCATTCATTATCATATTCCGATAAATTGTACCTGACAGTATACATTTGTAAAATGTATATATCTGTGATTTTTTTTTTGATTTTTAGAAATTTTCCATTTATAGTCCATATTTTTACCTAATAGGAGTTTTGAAGACAAAACATTAAAAAGAAAAAAAAAATCAAGGAAAACAGAATAAATACAGCTGACTGATAAAATAGATATAATTTATTTTGTTTTATTTGTGTATGTAACTCTAACAAGCAAGAGTGATATCTTTAATTTGCATGTCAGATTACTTAAGATTGTTTTCTTGTATTAAAAAAAAATTAAAATCATTTTAATTGAAAATGTTTAAGTTTAATTTTGAGGGAAATTCAATCAGTCTATTATGTTATAATTTATTTTCAATTTTTAAAATTAGAAGGTTTTTTTAAATATAAAGAACCATAAATATTATTCAATAAGTATAGACAAATTATTTTTCATGAATGTACAACTTAAATTTACAAAAATCATAAATGTATATAATCAATTATTTCCATATTGGTTTAACTAATATTTTCTATAATTTATGATTATAAAAAATTAAGAATTATTTTTATTCAGTAAGTTCAGGGTGTCTTAAAATTACATTTCTGTCAGGGGATAAGCCTTTAGGAGTACAGTGCTTTCCTACATTTGACTTCTCCACTATTTAACCCTGTTCTTAATGATCACTCTTGCTTGATCTGTCTCTGTTGTTAAAATTATGTTGTTTTTGGATTTGTAAGTGATTGTAAGCGGTTGAGCATGATTCTGGCCCAATCACCTCCCTGAATAACCGTTGGCCTTGAAGTAGTACCTCCTTACAAAGCACTGAACCCAAGACCCTTCAAGGGTTGTAGTGCTACAGGTTTATTTTTGATAAAATGATTTAAAATTCATGTCAAGAATTATTAGCATAATAGCAACTTCATCAAAACAAATTATATATTATTATCTAAGCATTTAGTCCTGATTATAAATTCACAGATTCAATTCTGCTATATGTCAGTATTTTGATTTTAGTAATAATACTTATTTATGAGTGTAACTATTTTACCAATGTGTTAAAGAGTTATCTTTTGAACATAGAGACTTTATTATTGTTAAATATTTTATTTATATTAATGAATCATTTCAAGCGTATTACTTTCAAGTCTTATAAGTAAGTAAATTTATTTGTTATGTGTTAGACCTTTTCAGTTAGATATCCTTTAAACATTCACTTATATTCTCTCAATTTGAGAACAAAAGCACTGAGAAATAAATTCTAAAAATTGTAGATTAAGAAAATATTAAGTTAAGAGATTTATATCTCGGTATATTATATGTGTGTTTGTATTTACACATACATACTGCACATGATTATATAACACATTTACAATTTCTTAAATTTCCAATGCATTAAAAACTGAGTTTTTAAAATAAACTTGCAGCTTCCATTTTAACTATTTGATTAGTGTTCATTTTTGATACTTGAAATAGAATTTTTTTCAACTGCTGTTGTATTATGCCGCAATATATTTATAAAAGTAGTGTTGTATTTGCTATTATAATCTTGTTTTGTACAAGATACTTAAGAATTAAAACTATTTTTCTAAAAAAAAAAAAGAAAAAAAAGATACTTATGTATTTCTTATATGTATTAGAATTATTGAGCCAGAAATTGCAGTTGTGCAAAGTATGATTCTGCTATTGCTTGTCAATGTTTTGCTCAATAAACTGTCATATCATTCCAAAATAAGATAAGATAACCATGTCTTTCCATTAGGTTTTTTTGTTTTCTATTGGTAATATTTATGACTTACAGAATTGAAATATATTGATACTAGTAGAAATTTTTAATGGATCCATATTTAAACTGAAAATAAATAAATTAACTGAGAAGAAAAAAAAGTCAAATTATTTAAACATTAGAGATAAATTATTTTTTATCAAATTTATTAAATCATTGAGTTATTTTTGCTTTTGTCTCACTAGCCTCCCTAAAAACTTAAGAGGTAATTTTAATTTTATAATCTACCGACAATACCGATACATTTTTAGGCTGTATATTACTAACCATTTAGTACAAATATTTAAGACAGTAAATAAATCAAATTATTATTTGTGTAAACATGGCTTTAAACTGATGTATAGCTGAATAAGAAAGCCTATGCACAAGCTTACATAAGAAAAATGTATTAATATGGGTAATATGCATTGATATTATAAATATAATGTATATAATTGATTTTGTGTTATAATTGTACAGAAATGAGTACATAGTACTATAAAATTTAAATAATGTTTTAATAAATTTTTAAAAAAAAGTCTATTTATTTTTTATACTTATTCCCTTAATTGAAAGTGATTTTAAACACTGTTTTTGTTCTTTTTAAAATTTCCCAGGAAGAAATAGTTTTATTATTATTTAATATTTAGCATTCAAAAAATTAAATTGCCCCCTCCCTCCCAAAAAATAAAGAATTGCAATATTAGAACAATTTTCCCAGTTATAAAGGTGAGTATATATCTGTGAAAATTGTTCTAATATTGGAATTCTTCACTTTTTTGATTAATTTGATTTAACTTTCCATATTTCATAAACATTTTTTCTATTTAATGTTACTTTCATTTCAAAATATATAGCGGAATATCATATTTTTGATGTTTGATAGCATCATTCAGAGGACAAAAACACATCAAGAAACGGATTGGTCCTTTGTTACATCTGCAGTGCCTACTAAGTTAAATCAGTTTACAAGAGTTACAATCAGTTATCCCTTAAGAATAGCAGAAAAAAAAAAAGAAATAGATCTGGCCAGAAGAACTACAATAAATAAGAAAAGAGTCCTGTGCATGCACCAAGTTCTTACAAACCACCTGTTACGTCTTCTCTCACAAGTTATTAAATTACTAGTGATTTAGTGAACTATAATGTTTAAAAACAGTGATATTGAACAATTAACAATTCGTTCATCAAATTAACATAAACACGGTGAGTAATCATTTGTTTATCAAGTTTATTGAATAGTCCTAACAACAATAGATACAGGTTATCTACCATATTGTTATCTATCCCCACTCAGCCTGCAGCCAGTACCTGGCTGACTGCTAAACAGTGTTGCCGTTTGTAAGAGGATCCTCGTATTTGTACGAGGTTATGACGTAATGTACGAGGTACGAAGAAAGATCAGCCTCGTACCTCGTACATAAGTTTTGCTGACGTATGCAATGCAAGGTTATATTTTTATGAATGAAGTTTAGAATTGTTTTACGATTATTTTGACTGTATTATTTTTATATTGATATGAAATACTGAACTTCTGTTGCTTTTTAGACATATAAATTGCAATTATATCTTCTTTAATTAGAGTATGATTATTATTTCCTTCATAAAACCATGATTGTATATATGTTTTTTTTTAAATTTTCTAGAAAAAAAAATTAAAAAAAAAAATTTAGATTTTATTCAGTATAAAATAAAATATAAGAAACCATATCCATTATTTCCTTCATAAAACTTTTTTTATAAATATATATTTTTTAAAATGTGTTGTAATAGAAAATTAAATAGAAATTTTTACCGTCATTTTTATCGAGCATAAAATAAAATACGAGAAACTATATCCATTATTTCCTTCGTAATTATTATTTTTTTCATAAAACTGCAATTGTAAATATATTCTAGATAAATTAAATTTTTTTAAAAATTATTAGCGTAATTTAAAAAAAATTATTTTCGATTTTTAATCGAGTAAAGTAATTAATTGAAAAATTAAATAGTATTCATAATGAACCCATCTTAAATAATGAAAAAAAAAAAATTTTTCAGTGGTCCTCATTTATTTTGTGCGAGGTATAATTGTAAGCTAAATACTGAAACAATCAAATCTATTATTTTTTTATATTATAATGGATATCTCTAAAAGCATCAATGCCCCAATAATTAATTTTTATTGGCCTTCCAGAACCACTAACGTCGTTTCATAAAATTAGTTGTTTTGTTTTTAGAAAAAAGAAAAAAAATTATTCTTTCCCCCAAATTAAATCTTGGATCTACTAATGAATACTTATGAAGAGTACTTCAAGAAGTTTATTTAGCTATTTTAATTTTTATATAACTTTTTCAGTATTTTATAAAAATATATAAACTTTTTTATATATTTTATTAAGCTAATTTTACTGCTTGACCTATTAACTTCAAAAAAGTAATGTAAAAAGGATTTAAAATATATGAATGGAGATAAAAATAAAAAAATCTGATCTAATTTTACTATAAAAAAAAAAAACAATAACACTGGTATTATAACAGTGCAAATTATGAATGAGCAAGCGTACGAGGATGTACGAGGCTTGAGTACGAGGTTTTGTCACAGAGCGCGCGGTAACACTGCTGCTGAAGTGGGTGCACGTCCCTCGGCGCTCCACCAGTCTACGTATTTTTTTTTTTTTTACGCACCAAACTTAAAATATTTTTTCAGTTAGATCTCATAAATGCGATATTATCACATGATAATGTCGAGCAAAGTCAAAAGTTCAAGAAGCTTAGGTAATAATAGCTCTCAAAACTCTCCTGTAAAACAAAGGCCAAAGCGTTCCAATAGAAAAACACCACCATCAACACCTGATAGACCAACTGAAATTAATAATGATCCGCAACCTGGTTTTTCGACCCAAATAACAGACGAATCTTCATTTTTTACCCCCAACCCATACCAACTACTATCGTCAGAAGAAATAATGGAAGCAGCACCAACTCCCAGAGAACCAAAACCACCTCCGATATTTGTCAGAAATATTAAAAATTTTCCATTATTCTGCCAGCACCTCGATAAAATCATTGAAAACGGTAAATATGTATGCCACAGTAGAACCAATGACACCAAATCAATGCCGGATTCTCCGGAAACATATAGAAAAATTGTTAAATATTTATCAGAGTCAAAGGCTGAATTTCACACGCACCAGCTATACGAAGAGAGAGCACTAAGAGTAGTAATAAGAGGCCTCCACTCTTCAACTCCACCCAATGAAATAAAAGAAGAATTGCTGGATTTAGGTTTCAATGTCCGCCAAATCGTCAACATGTATAAAGGAAATAAAGAGCTACCAGGTAAAAGTAACAAAATAGCGTTACCACTATTTTTTGTAGACCTGGAACGCACTCCAGGAGCAGAAAAAAATTATAATTTAACCCGTATGTACTATACCAGTATAGCGGTCGAAAAACCATACACAGAAAGTGAAATAGTATAGTGCCATAATTGTCAATCTTACGGCCACACTAGAAGTTATTGTCACCGCTTACCTCGATGTGTGAAGTGTGGACAGCAACACAGGTCTGAGGAATGCTCCAAGTCTAGGCAAACTCCAGCTGTGTGCGTACGATGCCATCTAAAGCACGCGGCAAACTACAAGGGATGCCAAACTTATAAAACCTTGAAGTCAAGAACACAGGCAGCACCTAGACAGGAAGAGACCTCCAGGACTTTCAGACCACCATGGTAACCCAAACGACGTGTGAACAACGAATTCTCCTATGCTGAAGTGCTAGGATAGAACAGACCAATAAATATCAGGTCCTGCCACAAACTCATGATCCACCACCCCAATATAAGAATACCCAAAATCCACTTCTCACCAAATCTCCTACATTCCTCCCCCTACCAATTCCAATGACCTTACTATCCTCCTTACATCATTTCTCTCCGAGATCAAATCCCTCATCACCCCGCTCATCTCCCTACTTACAAACGTCATTGCTAATCTTATCTCACCGCCAAGAATTCCTTAAATGTCCTCAACAAAACCCCTTTCCATTCTCCTCTGGAATGCGAATGGTGTTCGGAACCACATAAACGAACTATTTTTTTTTCTACAGGACGATAACATTGACATAGCCCTAATAACTGAGACCCGACCAACAAACAAACGACAGTTCAACATACCTCGTTACAAGATTTACCGATCTGATCACCCTGATTGAACAGCACATGGAGGCACTGCCGTCATCATCCATCAATCCCTCTCCCATCGCTTTTATCCTTTACCAGTACATAATTTCCTACAAACCACAGCAGTAGTAATCCAAACCTCACTTTTTCCTGTCACAGTTGTCGCAGCATACTCTCCACCTAAAATAACTGTACCTGCATCTAATTTCATTTCCCTTCTTAATTCCTTAGGACACCATTTTCTTATAGGTTCAGACCTTAATGCTAAACATCAGCAATGGAGAGCTAGAACCACGAATTCTCGCGGCCGAACATTGTTGTCTGCACTTAATTCCCACAATAGCAACATCCTTTTCCATGATACTCCTACATACTGGTCAACCGATCCTAACCGTAATCCTGACCTCCTTGACTTCTTCATTCACAAAGGTCTAGGGCCGCTAAACTTCTCAGTTTTACGGCTCGATGACCTTTCCTCAGACCCCAGTCCGGTAAGCCTAACCCTTTCCGCATTTCCTATCCCCCGATTATCCCCTCCTTCATTCATCAGAGGCCCAGTTAACTGGAACCTTTTCCGCCAAACAATAATAGATGCAATAGACCTCAGAGTATCTCTAAAATCCCCTCAAGACCTAGATAATGCAGTGAGTTCCTTCACCACTTTGATCCAACAAGCAGTCTGGACTGCATCCTCACCACTCTCCTCCAAAGAAACGCTTAAAAAGAATCCTTTACTCCAAAACCTTACTGACCTCATTAAATCCAAACGCCAATCTAGAACCCTCTGGCAAAGAACCAGGCATCCTGATGATCGGAAATTATTGTTCCAATGAATTATGTTTCAATATTGAAATTATACAATTATTGTTCCAAACAGGCTAAAAAAGACATCTTCCCTCTCCACCAAGGACAACTCCCTCTGGAAATTGACCAAAAAGATCCTTAAATACCATTCTATTTCTCATCCCCTCCGATGCGATGATGGAACCTGGGTTTCGTCAGATGAGACTAGAGCTGAAGTAATTGCCAAACACCTATCCAAAACATTCACTCCTCATCCTGAATTCCATCCACCCTCACTGCTGAAGTTAAAGAATTCCTTTCTTCTCCTATTCCTCTCTCCTTGCCTCCTATAGCTGTCAATCCCTCTGAGGTCAAATTTCTTATAAGCAACCTAAAACCTCGAAAATCCCCTGGACACGATCTCCTTACTTCCCAGATCCTTAGACAACTTCCCAAAAAAGCAATCATATTTCTCACATTACTATACAATTGTATACTTCGTACAACTCATTTTTCTCTGATATGGAAACACTCCATAATCATCCTCTTCCCTAAACCAGGTAAACCTGTTAACCTCAACCTATAGACCAATAAGCCTGCTGATCCTCTCAAAAATCTTTAAAAATATCCTTCTCAAACGTATCCTACCCATTCTCGAAACCCACAATATCCCTTCCCATCAGTTTGGATTCCGCTCAAGACATTCCACCGTTCAACAAGGCCTTCGCGTTGTTGACCATATATCCTCTGCGCTGGAAAACAAGCAATATAGCACTAGTGCCTTTCTGGATGTAGCGCAAGCTTTCGACCGGGTGTGGCACGATGG